CCTTGGAGGGTACGAATATGAGGAAGGTAATTCAAGTTACAACCATTGTCAGCCCTTTTGTACCATGTATGTGTGTGTGTGTGTGTGTGTGTGTGTGTGTGTGTGTGTGACAGAGACAGACAGAGAAAACATACCATATATTGATCGTATATAAACCACCTTACATAACTCTGGATATGTTAAGCTGTACCGTATGTTAAGCTGTACCGTGTGTTAAGCTGTACCGTGTGTTAAGCTGTACCGTGTGTTAAGCTGTACCGTGTGTTAAGCTGTACCGTGTGTTAAGCTGTACCGTATGTTAAGCTGTACCGTGTGTTAAGCTGCACCGTGTGTTAAGCTGCACCGTATGTTAAGCTGTACCGTGTGTTAAGCTGTACCGTGTGTTAAGCTGTACCGTATGTTAAGCTGTACCGTGTGTTAAGCTGTACCGTATGTTAAGCTGTACCGTATGTTAAGCTGTACCGTATGTTAAGCTGTACCGTGTGTTAAGCTGTACCGTGTGTTAAGTTGTACCGTATATTAAGTCAATAACCGTGCTACAGGAGGCCTTAGGTGTGTGTCTTTTTTACAGGGTTTGTTAAGAACTTGGCATAGAGGTAAGAGTATAGTCTGGCCCCATCAGCCGTATACATCTCGGGTTTGTTGACAAAAGGGAACAAGGTAATATTAACGTCACATATTCAGGCGTTTATTCTTCGTTTTCTTTCTTTTCTGATCTTTTTCTTAATTGACTTCTCTCTTTCTTTTATTTTATTTTTCCTCCTTCATTTGACAATAGCTAATCGGTTATTGAGTATTGTTGAATCTTTTTTTTATGGATTTGACATTTTTTCATCTTTTATTTTACATGTGATGAGGATGGCGACTCCCCCTCCCCCCTCACCATCCCCCGTCCTCTCCCCTATCCACCCCTCACCCCTCTCTCCCCCACACCCTACCCCCACCCGTCTTGAATTTACAAATGCATGTCCCCATTAATGGAGTCTAAACTCAAAGCAAAAGTCGGTGCCATTGCAAACAAGAAGGTATTGTTTGTAAACACGGCTCTTTCTGATTGGTGGTAGAGGAGTGTTTGGTCTCTCTCTCTCTCTCTCTCTCTCTCTCTCTCAGGTGAGCTTTTAGAACCTGTGTTATAATGTGTGGAGCTGAGGTACTCAAGCGCTTAAGGAAAGAACAAGGAATTCTGTTTAGTTTTTAGTTCTGTTTCTCTGTCTGTTTCTCTCTGTCTATCTGTCTATTTGTTTCTCTGCTTGTATGTCTCTCTATATCTATATGTCTGTCTGTGTCTGTCTTTCTACTTGTCTGAGTCTTTGTCTATATGTCTATCTGATTGTCTTTATCTGTCTGTTTTTCTGTCTCTATCTGTCTTTCTCTGTCTCACTCTTTCTCTCGACCGATTTATCTCTGTTAGTTATTATAAAATTGGAATCTTAACCCAGAAACGAATTAAAGAAACAGGTAAGACCCAGTTAACCTATTATCTCAGGTGACTACGACAGGTTGACGAGTATGCCAAGAGCGGGGGAGGGGGGAGAGAGGGGGAGGGGAAGTGTGGAGCAGGAAGGGGGGTTGGGGGAGGGTACGGAAGGAGGGTAGTAAGAGAGGAAGGAGGAAGCTACGAAAGGGGGATTAGTGGGGGAGAGAGAGAGAGAGAGAGAGAGAGAGAAGCTATGGTGAGACACGTGACAAAAGGACTCGGTATATATATAAATGTCAAGGGTAGAAACATTGATTGCCTTAAGGACAAATTCGACGAAACAGAATACCGGGAACAGGGGAACGTACTGTACTGCCAGGTAATTAAGGTAAGGCGGTGAGACATGATATACAAAAAGGTGAGTTGATGGACGAAATGGAAGATATCAATTAAATTTCTGGGGCAGGTAAGATTGATTGATTTTTTTTTTTGTCATGGACTTTGTAATTTTTTCTTACAGGGTTATTGTAAGTGTATAGGTGAGTAGATAAGTGTACATATACTTATATACTAAAATCTGTTTCTACGAACTAATGTGAATATAAGAACAACAGATACAAACACGATAAGGATTTCTATAACTCTACTAACATAATCTGAATAAACTACTAAAGGTAACTGCTAGTTTACCTTCACCTTCCGTGTGTTACCGATAGTTCATTAAGACACCTGTTGGGCAGGTAATGACCAACACTTCTTCAGGAACGCGCGTGTGTTTTGACCGTCATCTCTGAGGCAACACGGATGAACCACTTATCGAAGACAAAGGAAAGTTGTGTACAAGAAGTGTTATTTTTTTCAATTTCTCTCTCTCTCTCTCTCTCTGTCCGTCTCTCGCTCTCTCTCTCTTACTTTTTATATACTGTACACAGGAGAAGATCTACACGTATTACACTACTCACACATAGTACATAAGGCCCACATATCACACAGGGACCCACATAAAACACAGGGACCCACATATCACAAACACCCCCCCCTCCCCACACACACAGAAGCCAAAATCACAGACACATTTGAAGGCAATTATCACCCAGGAGGGATTATTCTCAGTCCCTTCTTACATAAGGTAAAAAACATTGTCCTGAATAACTGGCCAGGAGACAACACCCCCCCTCCCCGGTTTACCAGGATTTGGTCTGTCTGATCACTCTTTAATTACCCTCAATTAGACATTATTTACTTCCATTAGGAGGTAATGTATTAGTGAAGTATCCAATAATTGAACGGTTGATAGTTAGCATTTTGTTAACAGTGTTTGCCAGTGTTTTCTCTCGATAATTAGTGAGTATATTTTTTCCTATTAATGTAAGATTTTTGTTTAACCCTTTGAAGATAAATTAACCCTTTGATGAAGCTGATTTAACCCTTTGAAGATGAATTAACCCTTTGATGAAGATGATTTAACCCTTTGATGATGCTTTAACCCTTTGACGACGATGATTTAACCCTTTGACGACAATGATTTAACCCTTTGAAGATGATTTAACCCTTTGCTGAAGATGATTTAACCCTTTGAAGATGATTTAACCCTTTGACGACGATGAATTAACCCCTTGATGACGACGATATAGCCCAGGTAAGTTCCAATAGCCAAAAGTAATATAATTTTCAAACTAAATCCTGATAAAACTTGCCATACTGATACATGAAGAACATACTGTGTCTTATATCTCAGGTATTTATAACAACAAAAACAGATTTGTAACTCTCTGTCTGTCTGTCTCTCCTTTATTCCATGTCTGTTTCTCTTTTTACTCTCTCTGTCTGTCTATTTTACTCCCTCTCTCTCTCTCTATTTTACTCCCTCTGTCTCTCTCCCTTTTACCCCCTTTGTTTCTCTCTCTTTTCTGCATTTACTCCCTCTGTCTCTCTCTCTCTCATTTACTCCCTCTGTCTCTCTCTCTCTCATTTACTCCCTCTGTCTCTCTCTCTCTCATTTACTCCCTCTGTCTCTCTCTCTCTCTGTCTCCTTTACTCCCTCTGTCTCTCTCTCTCTCCTCCCTCTGTCTCCTTCCTCCTCTGTCTCTCTCTGTCTCATTTACTCCCTCTGTCTCTCTCTCTCATTTACTCCCTCTGTCTCTCTCTCTTTTACTCCCTGTCTCTCTCTCCTTTACTCCCTCTCTCTTACTCCTTCTCTCTTTTACTCCCTCTCTCCTTTACTTCCTCTGTCTCTCTCTCCTTTACTCCCTCTGTCCTCTCTCTCTTACTCCTTCTCTCTCTCTCTTTACTCTCCTCTCTCCTTTACTCCCTGTCTCTCTCTCCTTTACTCCCTCTCTCTTACTCCTTCTCTCTTTTACTCCCTCTCTCCTTTACTCCTCTGTCTCTCTCTCCTTTACTCCCTCTGTCTCTCTCCTTTACTCCCTCTGTCCTCTCTTACTCCTTCTGTCTCTCTCTCTCTTACTCCTTCTGTCTCTCTCTCTCTTACTCCTTCTCTCGTTTACTCCCTCTGTCTCTCTCTCCTTTACTCCCTCTGTCTTACTCCTTCTCTCTTTTACTCCCTCTCTCCTTTACTCCCTCTGTCTCTCTCTCCTTTACTCCCTCTGTCTCTCTCCTTTACTCCCTCTGTCTCTCTCCCCAGCTGTTCTAAAGCAAGGTTCTGTGGTGGTCGTTGCATGTTGCTGTAATAATGTCAGTTCTACTTCCTAGAAAATCCGTCTAAACCAACAGTGGTAAATGAGGTGAAATTACCAGAACTAATGTCTGTTTTGTTGGATTGAGAGACAGACATTTTCTATGTTAATTTCTCTTTATCTGTTCTTGTTTGTTTTCTCTTTATTAATTTATGTTTTTATTCCTTCTGTTAGTGTAATTCTATCGTTATTTCTTGATTTTCTTTCTTCCGTTTAATAATGTTACTTGTTATTTTTCTTCTTTGTGTGTTTAATTATCTCTTATTCTTTACTTATTTCCATTATATTGTGATTATATTTTTGTCCTGTTTTTATTTTAACCCAGAACAGGTGTTTATTACTTCCTTAAGTCATCTGTACAGGTGTTAAGTCTTCTTATCAACAGGATTTTCATTGTTACGGATTTAATATTCTTTTTTCTGAATTTATAACTAATATTCATGTTTTGTTTTTTTGTAATTGTTTCTGAATTTTAAAACTGAACTGTAATGTTATGTTATCCAGGTACACTGTATTTTCACCCTCTGTATTTGTCTCATTCTTTAAACTCTTTTTGTATTTATCTTTGAAATATTTTTGTATTTGCTGAATTTGTATCTGGTTTTTTATTTACATGATAATTTTTGTTTTGTGATTTTCTTAATAATTGTTGAAATTTCTTGTTTTTATCATAGAAATAATCTTTTATTTACCAAGTGTTTTTGTTACTTTTAGTCCTCAATTTTCTTTATAATTATCGTAACAAAATTTTTATACTTTCATTGCTTAAGAAAGTTAATTTTATTTGTATCATTGAGGTCAAAGTTAACATTAAATATAAGGGTAATGTTAAGGGCCCAAAGTTAACAAGTCCCTAACATAAGGCTGGCAAGGTTGAACAAAACACAGACTATCACTTGAAACATATAAAAATGTATTTGTTTTTCACACCCGCCGCCCCTGACTCGGGACACACGGGCGCTACCACTACAAAATATATAAAACCTCCGATTACTCTTAGTGAAGAAATGCCATATAGTTTAACTGTACATGAAATATCTCAGGTTAACACTATGTACAAAATATGATCAATAATATAATAATGAATTTGAGGCAGAAGGAAGGAAAGACTAACAGAAGATAAAATGTTAAATAAAAAATAATTTCAACTTTGTTTTGTGTTTTTTTAGTCTGAAAAAAATAATGAGATCATTTGTGAAAATTTCTGATGTTAATAAAAGTCTTGTCTTAGAACTATTGTTTTTTTACATGTTTTGAGCAACATTCTTATTATATATATATATATTTTTAGCAACTGTTTCATTAATACACAAGAATTTTCCTTCTACCGATTCAAAAATTTCTATAAACTTTGAACGATTAAAACATAAATCGAACATTAAATAAAAGTATCAAATAATTGTCCACAAAATGAAATACATGACAAATTATTTGACGTAGTAATTACTATACACAGTAATGTTGTTGTACTGACTAGAATTTCAAACAAAAACTGCCACTTTAAGGTTCATTAATTAATGCTTCTCGTGAATGCTCCAGCAGTGACGTCATCAGCATCAGGTGGGATTAAAAGAACAAGTCCAGTGACGTCATGTAAGTACTGTTATATGATTGGATCTCCTTCACCAGCGACGTCATACAAGTACTGTTATATGACTGGCTCTCATTCACCAGTGACGTCATACAAGTTCAGCCATATGATTGGGTCTCCTTGACCAGTGTTATGTAAGTACTGTCATATGATTGACCTCCTCGACCCCATAAACAAGTGTTATTTTCCTTCACCACACACACACACATGGCTAGGAAAATAACATGCACATAATCCTTTACTCTATCACTGGGAAAACGGTAATATAATAATTCTTTTAACAATATAAATACTACATTAACTACAGGTTATCTTATTACAAAGAACGCCACTGAACTGCCTTATGATTGGCTTATTGCACTAATGACGTCACTCGTCCAATGCCCACCGTGTCTCCTGAATGGCTGAGCGTGGGTCATCAGGGCTCCGTCTGTGGCTGAGATCTGTAACAAAGGAGACGAGAAATTATTCCCTCATTCTTACGTATAAACAAAAATATTCATGAAAATATCAAACCTAATCTAATACTGAAATTCTAACGTTTAGGAGATAAATATTATCCCCGTGTATTAGTTAATTAATCATGTTCTCAGTTACAAATGTTCAGCTTGTCATAAACACAGAAACTCATGCTCACCTATCCAGTTAAACAAGGCCTGAGGAAGTCGTCGTGGGTAGACTGGTGACCCCAAACTGTTGATCAGCCCCAGGACAGCAGCTGCCTGTAGACCACACTCACGCCTGCACCATCGACCTGTCTCCAACACACAGCATCTGATCCTTAAACCAAATACAACCTCATCCATCCATCCTCTTCATCCGTGCGTCATCCTCTCGTCCTCCTGAAGCATCGATCTTCATGCATCAGGTGTTTAGCCAGGAGGCGATAAGACCAGCAAGGATCTTTAGTAGGACTACCAGCGTCCACGAGCCTTGCATTATGTCCATCTATCCTGCCATCCTCCCCCACTCTTCCTCGCGTCACCAAGATGGTAGATAGAAGCACAAGATAACAATATGAACTGAACTTCTTTGTTTCTTCCGACATGTTCACCAGTATAATATTAATTTACGTGTTATGTCCCTCCATAATCTGACTCATTGAAGCCTCAAACTTTCAGCTCCTTTACTGTTCGTTAAAGAAATGGGCAACTCCAAACCGTTCACTTGCACTTACTCGAGAGAAAACATCACAGAAAGCCTCATAGATTACGATTAAAATGACTTACACTCACTTAAGTTTTTGTTCACTAAAGAAACATTAGAGCAAAAAGGGTTTATGTACATGGCTGGCAGCTGAGGCTAGTAAATTTGTCATCACCGAGATGATTTTGTGCACCATTTTATTGACCAGACTGCGTTAACTGGTTTAGTTTGTTGTTGTGGTACTGTTGAAAAATGTTAGGAAACAATGGTTGAAGGCACTGGCACCGTTATGGAGGCTTTGAAAGCTTGGTTAGGACTTTGGTCCCGGTCCATCATGTCTCCCGTGTACAATACTATTGACTTCACTAGAGTACATTAAGTCTATGCTGGACAGATAATTCTGTCTTTCGTTGTAAACACGAAAGAGAAAAAAAACACTCGTTGCAAGTGTTCCCAGCTCCCTGCCTATAGCAGGAAGCTGCTGGAACCGATCCACGTATGGGAGAGTCCGCAGTCTGACAAAAGGTGGTCTGTTTCCTCAGTCACGCTGGGGAAGTCGAAGTGGGACCCCGAACTTGTGCTGACAGCATCGAAGTCTATGTCAGCATCAAGAGAGTCGAGGTCCATCTTGATGTCTGAGATGGGGATGAAGTCGGTGATGTTGTACAGGTCATCCAAGGTAGCGTGCTCTGTTATTTGACCACTGGTGTTATTTCGTGGACTTTGTATTTCTGTCTTAATCTCTGTCTTAATATGTGGTGTTTCACACACTGGGGAACCAAGACCCGGGGACGCTAGACTTTGTGGAGTGTAAACAATTTCGTAGAGATCGTCTGGCTCTTGCTTGATTCTGGTGTTGGGGCTGGAGACTGTGTTATGGGTGGATGTGGTGGTGTGGTGACTCAAGGCTGTCAGACCGTGGGTACTGGTGGGTGTGTGGTACTGGGCGGTGACGGAGGGGTTGTAGGTGAAGGCGGGCGGGTCTTCGTACATAGAGGCACTCTCGGGAGAATCTGGGAGATCACAGGGTGGACTGGCGGGCACTTCTGGAGGGGAATGTGGGGTTAGTGCCATGACACCATTTTGGGGCATCCTATGAGACCTCTTAAAGTCATCGTCGATGGTGATCTTAATACCCAGCTTGTTGTGATCGACCTCGAGACCCTGTGTGTGGGTGATGCGGGTGTTGCTGATGACGTTCACCACATTCTTGGCCCGGTCCTTGTTATTACAATGGTCCTTGGCCTTGGTGATCTTTCCAACACTCTTTTCTGACACACCTTTTAGCTGGGCTTTCTGTCCCTTCTTGCGGGGACGGTACTTGTAGTTAGGATACTCGCGCATGTGGAGCTGTTTCAGACGCTCAGCCTCGTCGCGGTAAGGTCGTCGTTGTTCCTCAGACAACAACTTCCAGCGGCGTCCCAGTTGCTTGGAGATCTCAGCATTGTGCATATCTGGCGCAAACTTGATGATCTCCCTCCGCTCCATCTGGGACCACACCATAAAGGCGTTCATGGGCCGTTTGATGTGGTTTGGGGGATGTTTCTTCGTCTGCAACAACAAAAAGAAAATAATTAACAAACATCCTAGTGGAAAAAATATTAATCTTTAAAATATGTTCAATAAGTTCACTGATACAGGGGCCTCTGATACACAAACACACAGCACTACAGTACACCAAGAGTAAACCAAATACAGAGACATTTACGTAGGTACATAAATATTTAGAAAAAAAGAAACTAACCCCAAAAAGATTAACAGAAAAAACAGCTGTCCAATCTGTCCTAATGTGGTACCCGGTAAACCCCTCTACTCCCAACCCTCTCTCCGCCAATAGGATGGTTGCCACACATTGCCATCCCCCCATACCACCTGCCAATCATGTGCTGTCATCACATAGGGTTGACACAAGAGCAGATGGCGAGGGTTCGTAACCCCATTTAGGTAACCTGTTGTTACGTCCACAAAGCGAAATCTTTTGTTGGTCTGTCAGCCCCACGATTACTGAATACGCATAGTCAATGTAATGGAAATGTACCTGGAAGGCGTCAGACAGCGGAAGGATTAAAGTGAATATTTAAGAGGAAATTCCCATAAAAACGAATTATTGATGATATGTTTCAGTTTGTATCTCAGGTTCGTGTCCTCAACATCAATAAAGCTTCCGTCAGAGGAGATTGTCTCACATAGTCTCACATCTGTCAGCGTTAGACAAGACGAGATAAATAAAAACAAATACCAAATTAGATTCGTCCTTCTAACTCGTATCAGGGGAAAGAAAAACCTCCGGGGAAATGGGCAAAAACTCAAGCTCATCGTCGGGTTTTATCCCTTTTCTACCTTGGGGTTCTTTTCCCTCAGTCCCGACGGGGGGCAAAAAAAATGTTTAAGTATGGTGGCAGCGTCTTGCTCGTCCTTGCCCACAACAACAAAAACGGCATTACTGGGGCTGGCTATATGCTGCCGCTACTCTCCCAACAAGACACATACACTATACACCCACCCACCCACATACACCCACCCACATACACCCACCCACCCACACCCACCCCCACACACGTACAGACAACCTTCTATCAAAGACCACCCTACACAACTCCCTATTAAAACAAACAACACGAAATGACAAACTCCCAATATACACAAACTAAGTTTATTAAGTCGACCAAGTACTGAAAACCCCAGCGAGGTCAACAACATTCAGATCTGTGGTGGTGTTCCTACCCGAGACAAAAACGTCATTAGAGCGACGGGTGCCCACAACAAACACCGCCCCCCACACTCCTGCCCCCCCCCACTCCTGCCCCCCACACTCACCACCTCAGGTACGATGCTCGGAGGGGGAAAAACACCTCTTCAATTAAATTGGTTCACCTGGTGCAAAAAATAAGTCCTGGTGATTTATATACACACGCGGGTTGACGTCATCATCCAAACGTCTCCCTCCCTCTCTCCTTCCCTCCCTTCCTCCCTCCCTCTCTCCTTCCCTCCCTCCCTCTCTCTCCTTCCTGCCTTCCCTCTCCCCTCTATGGATTGTCAAGCTATTCACACTGAAGCAAACGTGAGGAACAGATCTATTAATGGATATAAACACCGCTTAAGCCTTATCTTTACCACGCTAGTATATATATATATGTGTGTATGTGTGTGTGTGTGTGTGTGTGTGTGTGTGTGTGTGTGTGTGTGTGTGTGTGTGTGTGTGTGTGTGTGTGTGTGTGTGTGTGTGTGTGTGTGTGTGTGTGTGTGTGTGTATCGACGTGTTTACTGAACTTTAATCATCATGAGCTACAATTTGAACACACACACACACACGAAATACTAAAAATAAACAAATATGTTACACTGACACACATACGTGAAATGAAAGACAGTGATTTGACCTCAATTACACTCATTCAATCTTGATATATAGAGCTGTGGGCGTCTCTAAGTAACTCCTATAAGTGATAGTGGAGGAGGTGATGATGAAGATGGTGATAGGGGTAAGAGAGAAGAGGGTAGTGAATATAGTAAGTGTTGGGATGATAATTTTATGGTGATAGTGAAGGGGTGATGATGATGATATGGTGATGATAGTGAGGGTGATAGGGAGCGATAGAGTAAATTAATGGTGAATATTATGACTATGATAGGAGTGTGGGGAGCTAAGGTATATGGTGAATGATGAAGGGGGAGATAAGGTGTGGATGGTGGGGAGTAAGGTCATTAATACAGGGGGAGGAGAGTGTGGGGAGAGGAGAGAGTAGAGAGAGAGAGAGAGAGAGAGAGAGAGAGAGAGAGAGAGAGAGAGAGGAGCTGAGGTTATGAAGTGATAAAGTAACCAGCAGCAGCAGACTACAGAAGGATACCTAATAAGTGCTAGTAGTAGTAGTAGTAGTAGTAGTAGTAGTAGTAGTGGTAGTAGTAGTAGGCTCTAACTTCCCCACCATCCTCTTAACCTGCACACGTATAAAAGACAAAACAAAGAAACAAACACAATAACTAACAGAAAGATACTAATGGTGAGAGTCAACAATAACAAAAAATAACAAAAAAAACAACACCAAAAACGTAGTTAAATAAGGCAATGAACTATACACCACATTGTTGAAGGTCTACACAGCATCACCTGACTTTATGCTGGACAGATTAAGACACCGAGTAAACAACCTCTCAGCTTTATGCTACAGGAGTCAGCTGGTAGACACGCGGAGACTACAACAGCAAGCCCTCTCGTGTATATATGGAGGGGGGGGAGAGGTACGAGAGGGAGTGGGGGGAGAGGGGGAGGGAGTGGGGGGAGAGGGAAGGGAGGGGGGGGGAGGGGAAGGGAGTGGGGAGAGGGGTAGGGAGTAGGGGAGAGGGGTAGGGAGTGGGGGGGGAGAGGGCAAAAACATCAACGATTTACTGAGCAATAATTGTTCTCTGCTGGGAAAGATGGGAGGTTGGTAACAGAGATTGGGTGGGTGGCAGCGTAGCAACTTTGTGGTGACCCTGAACACATGAGAGTGAACGACCAACCAGAGAGGCTAGCAAGGCAGGGAGAATAGATGGTCTCTCTCGTGCGTGTGCGTGTGTGCGTGTGTGTGTCCTTCATTGAGTTATGTAAGTGGGTTTATTTTACTACCGAGTCGATACTTTTTAACACTTGTACTCTGATCCACCAAACAGTCACTCCAGAACTACTCCTACTACTTGGAGATGTAAATACTATTAAATAAACTCATTAAAAGACACTGGGTAAAGGTATTTGGTCCCAATGTCAGACGAGGCGGTATAATCAACACACAATGCTTAAAGAGCTGAGACTGTGGGGCGGCGTGTGAGGGGGCAGAACTGTTGAGGTAATAGGGATGGTTGTTTTTTTTAAAGAGTTTAGACCAAGCTGTCGTCCATCCCAGGCTCAAGGGGTGAGGGAGGGAGGAGAAGGGGGTGTGGGAGGGGGTGGAGAGAGAGGGGAGGGGGGAGCATCAGGGCATGGGAGGAACCTTTTTGATTGTAGCGTCAGACTGTCAGCTGTTAGGGGGCCTTTTTGTAGTAGCTAACCTGCCTACCTACTACCCCCTACCTCTCCTCTATTCTCTTCAGCTGAGTGGGTTAGGAGGCCTCTCTCTCTCTCTCTCTCTTCCTCTACTTCGTCAAATCTCACTCGACCCTCAAGAGTAAAAACAACACCCCACACTAATCAGTCCCCACTCAATACCCACACTACAACAGGCCCCACTCCACACTCACACTATGACAGCCCCCCACTCCACACCATGACAGCCCCCACTCAATACCCACACTATAAGTCCCCACTCCACACCATGACAGCCCTCACTACACACCCACTCTACAACAGCTCCCAACCCACGGTAATAAAAAAATAATATATCCTTCCCACATCCTCATCACCTGCTGCTAACCCCCACTACTCCACCTTCCTTAACCCTAACCTAACCTCACCCACAGTACTAAGAGAATACCCCCTCCCCCCGGGTGAGGTGTGTGGTAGGAGCAACAGTTTACTCAGCTGCTGGTGAGACTCTTGTTGTCGTTATTGTCAATTTCAAGGTTCACACTCCCCCCTCCACCAGGCTAAATATGACGGTAGGTGTATCGACCACATGCAATACGTTTTAACCTGTTGTCAGATTTACGATACCTGCTATACTATATATTATCAATGACATACGCATAAAATGTAACGAAACTTTTCGCTCAGATTATGTGTGTGTGTGTGTGTGTGTGTGTAAACCGCTCGATTCTCCTCCCAGAGCTCTAGTTGTTGTCGTTTTTGTTCATTTCGGCCCTCGGTATCTCTCACTCCTTCCTATACACTATACCGTCATGATTTCGTTTCGATTAAATAATGTCTGTGTCTCCTAATTAATCACTAATCCAGGGTTATGACGTGTAGAGATTGATTTTTTTTATGGGGGGGATAGGATTCATACTGCAAGGTGGTGGTGGCAGCGGGCGACACGAGGTGGCTAAGAGGAGAGAGGGCTGGCTGGCTGGCTCGTGTTGTTGTCATTATTGTGAATTCTACCCTCAACATTCCTCCCCGCGCTAGTGTCCCGCCCTACCCAAATTTCCTGTAACTGGAGAAGTGAACTGCCAAAATCATCGTATACACTAACTCATGCCAAAAACAAAAAAAATCATATATTGAGAACGGTGTCACGTACTTGTTAGTTATATGGGAGTTCCTCTGTTTTTAATCATAATATTTCCAGACGATAATTTTATTACATCACCCATCAGTTTAAAACATCGATTAAAATAAGTATAAGACTCCACATTTATTAAGTTAGCTATAGAAGTATTTAATATAGCTAATAACATATAAATTCTCAATATAAGCTAATAATATACCAAATATACATCAGTGCTCATTAGAAACTGATATCTAAATTATCTTTATAGTCTTGACATTGAAATTAGACACACACACACACACACACACACACACACTTAGCTTTATGCACAATATTCCGTTCCGTGTGTCAGTATCGTTAAGGATAAAGTGTGGGGGGGAAGGGTTTACCCACCAATAAAAAACCATCTCCATTGACCTTGTTTCATACCAACACTAAAATAGTTTCACGGTCACCTGAACTCCCTACCTTCATTTCATATTTCCAGAGTGAAAGTTTTTTTTTATCTCTATTTCCCACGAAGCTTCACAAAATAAAACTCATATATCACAAAACATCCCCTAGTCTCGATCTTCATCACCAGTCAAGTCAGGTCAGGCAGGCATTCCATATCACCGAAAATAATCTATCACCTGTAGTAACTAATTTGTAAACTTTCTCACTACCCACACCTGTTATCACCACAATCTTCGCTTTTATCACCACACAAGGCTCCAGATTCGACAATTACAATCACAGGTGAAGTGACACTATCTCGTCACCTACACACCGCATCTCTCAATCTCATTTCGTTATCTTCTTGGTTAGGTTAAGCTAATAACACAATAACACCGAAGTCATCTCCAAATAACATGACAACAGGATTGATTTTTCACTTAACACACACTACACGTCTTGCTTCCAACATGATAGAACACAACACAAACAAATCCTACTACCATGATATTAATCCATGGTTGAAAAATTATAAAAATCCACATAAAACCAAATGTTTCTCGATTCAGTGATCATTAGGAACAAAACGATGGAGTATCTTTGCTTAAGTCACCAGAGATGTGAACAAACAATAGCTTGGGGTCACACACACCACAACAACTTCTGGGGTTTTTGAAAGTTTATATATGGAGTTACTAGATTTAACTAATGTCCTTCTTGCTTGTGTTATATGCAATAAGTAACTGGACCCCTACGACAGGAAAAGAAACAGATGACAGTCAAGAGAAACAGATGACAGTCGCATTAATCTATTTTTCACTTAAGATGCAAAACTAAGTTGGTCATAAATCTCGTGTAAATAAAGTTTTTATTTACACGACAACAATGACGGGTTTTTATCAATAACTGAATCCTGTACGTGATTTTATACCTTAGGTTAATATTCTACATGTTGTAAATCACAAATAATAGCTGTCCAGGTTCACACTTGTGTCGCCAGTGAGGAGCAGGACATGACAATATATAACTAAAACATTCATAAGATGTTTATCGGGATATATATATCGGGAGTAAGACACTTGATATCGGGTGTGGTAGAGGATTATGTTCGCACATTAACTTGTGGTGAGGGACCTCTCTGGCAAGACCACATGTGGCTGGGGAAGCAACAAGCTGCACTCACTCGCACATTCACGCCGCCAAAAACTAAGTCCACAATTTCGAGTTTCTCACCTGTGTGGCATCAGAATATGGCGTGTTGGAGCTGTCATTCACCAACATAGATCCGAACACTGTAGACGAGCTGGGCACAGGCACCCTCTCATAATTCGCATGGGGTAACATTTTGCCGTCGCGATGACAGGCCAAGACCACAGCAACTCACTCTCAGCACGGAGCAGCGCGACCTCCTCCACGCACGGCAAATGCACAACTGAAGCCTGTAGTAAACAGACGGCATGCTATAAGCGAGTAGTGTGTGGCGGCGGTGACGTCACAACCAATCCCCACGCGAGAGGCTCCACACGACTCGAGCGAAATCACCTACACTACTTCTCTTTCCGTATCGTAGATTTTGCGATTTTTCGTGTAACTCACGAGATCTTCGTCAAAATATATACTCGGTGAGTAAAACCTAACTTAACTAATACTTCCATTTATATTACCAGTAAAAATATTATGTACTGACCGATTACATAACATTGTGTCAAGAACTTTACTATCCGTAGTATGGGTTAGTGACACCCAACAAGGTGGACTATAATGTAAGAATATTTCACTACGTCGGAGTGTGTGACGCATCTCTGCGCATGTGAGCTCCCTACCGCGCGCCGCGCGGCCTTCGTTAGTTGGTTGGCTATCTGTCAGTTCCCAGTCGACGGTCGGAGTGAGGGGTGACGCTCTCTGTGTCTCTGGCCTCCCCCCCCCCCATCTCTGCTGCCTCCACGCACTACACTGACACTCCACTTAATAAATTACTAGTACAGCTTATGTTAACCATTATCGATGCTTGTGTGTGTGTATAATGTCTGTGTGTGTGTATATATGTCTGTGTGGTGTACGTATGTGTGTATATACGTGTAAGTGTGAGAGATAATCGAGGGGCGTGTACACGCTTGTCTCCACAGGAAGCAACAGGGTAGTCTGGCCAACCTGAAGCAGTTTAAAGTGAGAGGCAGCTGACCAACACAGTGCTAGAGGCATCACCACCAGCCTCTACCCTCCCTCCCTCTCTCTCCCTCACCCCCCCTCCCTCCCTCTCCTCTCTCTCACCCCTCTCTCCCCCTCCTCCTCTCTCTCTCCTCACCCCTCTCCCTCCTCCCCTCACCCCTCCTCTCTCCTCACCCCCCTCACCCCCACCCTTCCCAACATTAAACTACCGAAAATAAACCTAAACAATAATGACTTAATGGACAGATTACTAAATTCAACTTCATTTATCATTTAATAATGTGGACGAAACAAATCAACCCTGGTCTTATCACCGTCTCTCTCTCTCTCTCTCTCTCTCTCTCTCTCTCTCTCTCTCTCCGTTTTCTTTCAGTTGAGGTAATATCAAACGGGTCGGAATTTACAACATAGAAATCAGTAGGTTGAAAATAATCCTGACACTCACCTATATCGTGTTTGGATTTGACCACGAAGCTAGTTAACTGTGCACCCTATAGTTATCCTGTAGACTCAGAGAGCAACAAGTACAAAAACAGGCCTTCTATACTGTAGGCCTTAGTGGTAAATAAGTATAATATAGTTTTATAGATTTCAAATGATCTATATTACAGACTACAAGTTAACTATATTACAGAGACTACAAGTTTACTATATCACACACTACAAGTTAACTATAATACAGAGACTACAAGTTAACTATATCACACACTACAAGTTAACTATATCACACACTACAAGTTAACTATATCACACACTACAAGTTAACTATCTCACAGACTAATAAGAACCTTCCTAGTCTTCTATAAATTGCACCATTGCTAGTAATATAAATTTTAACATACTAGGCAACACCCGGACTATACTAGGAACAAAATAGTCGAGTAAGTGGTGATAATCTTACCTCATAGAATCCTATTGCTTGTTTCTCATCAAATTCCTTCGTTCGTGGATTCAGTTGCCATTGACCTGGGTGGTGGTCCTATGGTCAGTGCATGGTCCTATGGTCGGTGCATGGTCCTATGGTCGGTGCATGGTCCTATGGTCGATGGTGGTCAACTGGGATGATCAGCTGGGATAGTCCGGTGGGATAGTTCGTATCATAGAGCTTACAGGAAGGATGGATTAACAGGTTGAGAACAGGATAGACTCCAGAACTTCCTGCCTCTGATGAATCATGATATTATTTAATTTTTTTTATACTTTTTACGAAATATATTATGAGTGCTGTGTATATATCCTGGTAGTTTAATGGTGATATTAGGTTAGGTTAGGTTAGGTTATAGATATTGCCAGACTTTAATTTTTTAATTGGTGATTTAATTTCTTGAGTATGGTGATTTAAATCCCTTGAGTATGATGATTTTACGAGTATAATGATTTAAAGCCTTGAGTATGATGATTTTACCCCATGAGTATGATCTTTCCTTTGAGTATGATGTTTTAACCCCTTGAATACGATGAATTTAACCCCATGAGTACGATGAATTTACCCCTTGAGTACGATGACCTAACCCCTTGAGAACGACAATTAACCCCTTGAATACGATGAATTTAACCCCTTAAGTACGTGAAATAACCCCTTGAGTACAGTGCTGGGGACATCTCTTACAGGTAAATAAACTTCCTCTTGATGCTGACAGGTGATGCAATTGTGTACAACCTTCTCATCAGAGAGGCCAAGTACTGGGTGAAGTCATTTAGTCGAGATAGAACAAGACGTCAGTGACCCTATGTGTGTTATGAGTCTTTAACTACATTATCTTAGCTGTGTTTTAGGTCGTATGCAATATATGGGTGTAGATCCTCACAGATTCGTAGGTAGGGTAGGGTAGGTTAGCGTGGGTTATGTGTAGGGTAGGGTAGGTTAGCGTGGGTTATGTGTAGGGTAAGGTGGGTTATGTGTAGGGTAGGGTAGGTTTGGGTAGAGTAGGTTGGGTTAGGTTAGGGTAGGGTAGGGTAGGTTGGGTTAGGGTAGGATAGGAGTTAAATTATACATATTTCGCATCACACAAGCAAACATGTATATATAATATGTAGAGTAATTAATGTACATATACACATCCATGAAACACACCTTCTTCCAGTTACCTGAGAAATATAATATCTTTTAAGGATTTTATTCATTAGTAGAACAGCCCACTAATGCCTGTTTGGTGACGTGACCAACCTTGAACACGCTGACGACACATCTAGCGTGAGTGGTGACGTTAATAGTGGCGCGATACGTCCACAGATGGCGTGGCGGTGAGCCATTGGACGCCTGGAGTAGCAGAGGTGAGCGAGTTTCGACGCGTTCAGGGCCCCCTACCACCACGACCCTCCTTCCCTCCCACCAGTACACGCGTCACCACCACCGCTACCATCACCCAACGCCGAACGTTCGCTACCACCACTGCCACCCTGACTGTCCCCCTCACTCTCCTCTCCCTCCTGCCTTGTCCATTCCTCACCCATCCGCCTCCCTCTCTCAATCCCTCCCCGTCCCATACTCCATATTCCTTTTAACTGGTCCATGAATTCCTCCTACTTACCCTTCCCTTCATCCCACACCCCCTCCCTTCTCCCTCACCCCCACCCTTCTCACTACACCCCTCCCTTTATCCCACACCCCCTCCTCTTCTCCCTCACCCCCTCCCTCTCTCCCTCACCCCCTCCCTCTCTCCCTCACCCCAGCTTCCTCCAACGGGACTGTACGTTTTAGCTGTTTATCAGGACGAGTTATTTATAGAAACTGGGTGTGATATCTCGCTATACGTACACGTACAGTACTAAGTTCGTCTGAGTAGGTGATACTGGCTTCCTCGACTGATTAAACGGGAGAGAACATCATGGCTCGACGTGATGTAACTTTGTGTGTGTGTGTGTGTGTGTGTGTGTGTGTGTGTGTGTGTGTGTGTATTACGCTAAATAGTGAAAATATCAATTAAAAGTATCGTAATCATTTTATACGTAGAGTAACACCCAACAACGTCAGCTAGAGAAGGTACAGAAAAGGGCCTGCAGAATCATGCTCGGCGCAGAATACTCCGGCTACACCAACGCTCTCTCCACCCTGGAAATGCCATCCCTCAGTGACTTCCACAACCAAGCACTGGAAAGGTTTGGCAGCCAACTAATGCATCACCCTCGTCATCGCCACCTCCTGCCACCGGCAGCCCCCCACCCACCTCGCGCAGTCCGCCACTACAACAAAATTCAGCCCATAAGAGCCCGAACCGATAGATATAAGAACAGCACCACCCCATCTATTATTAAAATAATAAAAAACTCCTGATTTATGTACTGTACAGCCCTGTAAATGTATTGGACGCATATCATTATATCTAAATCACATTAAGTCTATATATTTTCAGCCACACACACACACACACACACACACACACACACACACACACACCGTTAATTATTATTATTATTATTACACTATAAAACACAATAGCAGAGGCTCTAAGGAAAACACATCACCATGAGGTAAACAAAGCCCAGGAAAGACATCAGGTGTGGAGTATAAACCTCATCAGACAGAGACACTGTTACCAGGATAAAAAAAAATATCTATGCTATTTTACCTATGGAACCTATGGCATATATTTCCCTAAGTCATAATTAAACCATAGTTAACTACGTCAGTCCTTACTGGTGGGAGATCAACTATGGCAATGATTGTTCTAATTATTATATGGTTCATGGACGTTTCCTATAGTCGAATTCCATGACCATTTACCTTCTTCGTTCCTCACATTAATGATCAGTTAATGGAGATAGTTTGGTAATGCCTTTAGGTTCGTTCGATCGGGAATGACTAAGACACGTTTCGGGATACCTGAAGGAGAGAGAGAGAGAGAGGAGATGCAAGCAGGGAGAGAGAGATAAGAGAGAGACAGGCAACAACACGTAATATCAACCACTCAAATACCTGACTGTATTACTCGTGCAGGAAGCAACATGCAGGAAACAGTTGGCTAGTGTTAAGTTAGGTGAGATAAGTTCCATTGTACATTTTCTAGACAGGAATTGACAAGTTTGTGTGTTTGTGGTGATGAGAGACGGACAGACAGACAGACAGAGACTATGAATTCTGTAAACTCGAGACAAAATGAACAACTAATTCCTCTCAGCCTGAACAAACACCATATTTTCCTTATAATGGTTGTGGTTTTTGTTCATTCGTAAACACAAAGGAAAAAAAAATACCGTCTATGCCAAGGTTATACACATGTGATCGTATGTGTGACTAAGAACAAGTGTCAACAAGCTGAACACACCCACACCGACACACG